AAAGAGTAAATAAAGATAGTTTTTACTGGTAAAAAAATAAAATAAAATACTTCAATAAAAGGGAATCTAAACTTTAATGATGGGGTCATTAGAAATGAATAAGATCATGACAATACATACAAACACTAGTGAAATTGTTTCAAAGTGGTACTCAAAAAACGATTTTTAGCCTTAAGTTTATTTAAAAAAGAAAGGAAGGGAGGGAGGGAAGGAGGGAAGAAGGCTGGTTAAAATTCAACTTAAAGAATCAGGAAAAGAACAATAAAATAAACCAAAATAAAGGAGAAGGAAGCATAAAGCTAAAAAAAGAACGTAATGTAATATGGAAGAGAAAGTGATTCTTAGAAAGTAGATCCAAGAACTAGTTCTTTGGAAAAGACCAATGAAATACACAGACCTCAAGCAAGTCTAATGAAAGAAAACCACAAGAATTTAAATTTCATGTGAGCCTTGTTGGCCCCTGCATTCTCAGCACGAGAAGATTTCCTAGTACATATGGGTACTCTGTAGGTATTTGTTAAATAAAAAACATTAAAAATTTTTAAAGGCTACAGAAATAAATACAGAAGAAAATTTTTTAAATATTATATGGCAATACTACAAATCTTATAAAGCATTACACTCCTCAAAGACACAAAAGCAGACTTAAACTGATGGAAATATGCTAAATGCTATATTAGTCAGTCATGATGTCCAAACTGCTGTATAACAAATAACCTTGGTGCCTTAAAAATAGTAATCACATGTTTCTCACTACAGCAAATATGCGGGACTATCTTGGGCTCCAGACTCTGGGATTCAGGTTCTAAGTTCCAGGCTGCAGGATAAATACTAGGTTCAGTTCTATTCAGTGTGTCTTCTGTCTTCACCTTGAACCAGAGATTATTCACTGCATGCTCTTCTCATGACAGATCACAGATACAAAAGAAGCCAATCCATTTAAGGCACATTTAAAGCTTTTATATGCATTCATCCCTTAACGTTCCATTGTCTATAGGAAAACACTGGAGCAATATCTTAGTTCAGTTCCAGGTGCTATAACAATATCAAACTGGGTGGCCTACCACAATAAACATTTATTTCTCATAGTTCTAGAGGCTAGAAGGCCAAAATCAGGGTGCCAGCATGGCCTGGTAAGTATCCTCTTTCCAGCTTATGGCTGGAAATATGGCTGCCTTCTTGTTGTAGCCTCACGTGGTGGGGAGAGAGATTATCTCTCGTGTGTTTCTTGTTATAAAAGCACTAATCTCACTCATAAAGGCTCACGCTTCATGACCTAATCACCTTCCATAGGCCTCATCTCCAAATATCATCATGTTGGAGATCACAGCTTCAACATACACATTTTAGGAGGGACATAAATATTCAGCCCATAGCAGGCAGGAAAATAGACCACATCTACTCTAGTGTACTACATGGTTATATGCCAGAAGCAAGTGGTGATGGATTAAGAATAGCAATCCAACCTACCACAAAGCCCAACTTTATATATAATAAAAGATATAGAAAATAAGACTACAGTCAGGTAATAAGTTTTAGCTATCCAATTGAGAAAAACCCTAAATATATTTTCTTGGTGAAGCTGTAGGGAAATAGGCATTCTCATACATTGGTAGCTAGAATGTAAAATGGTACAATCCTTCTGGAAAGGAATTTGACAATCCAGAAAAATTGTATATGCATATATCCTTTGACCCAGCAATTCCACATTTAGAAATCTATCCAAAAGACACACTGGCATGATTGTCAGTTTTATGTGTCAACTTGGCTAGACAATAGTCCCCAGTTGTTCACGCAAACACTAATCTAGGTGTTACAGTGAAAGTATTTTGTAGATGTGATTAAAATCCATAATCCACTTACTTTTTTTTAAAGGAGAGAATTAATATTTTATTGTCACTTATAATCAGATGGCAGGTGGGTATACAGTCTTCATACTTGATCTTTCCCTTTGTAAATGAAAAAAAATCACAAGTTTTAAACAGCCAATGGCTGGTTATGTTATCAGAAAACATAATTAGATTAACTTATTCATGGTGGCTTCAAGTTTTCCCTTATTAGCTCCAGAAAACTCACCCACCTTTTGTCCCTTTTTTAAAACTGGAAGTTTGGCATGAATTGACTTCACATTCTGTAGCAACACCCTGACCATCATCCATGTGGACTTCAAGGAACACCATGTTGGAATACTTCTCAGAGAGGCAACGAGAGAAAGGCTTGATCATTTTGCAAGGCCCACACCACATGGCTGAGAAGTTAACTACTATAAGTTTATCTTCTGTACTGTTCAACTGTTCAACCTCCTGTAAAGCACACTTGTTCTCCATCTGCTCCACCATTTTGGCGGCTGGGGTCTGACAAGCAACCATGAATGTGGCTTCAAAAGGTGGAATGGAGATGGAAGAGCTCACAGGCAACTTCCTTTTATAGCAACTGGGGGGGGTGGGGCATGCATGTTGGGGTGCCCCAGCCAGGCCCCGCCTCCTGAACCATAATTAGTTTAAGTTAAGTAAGGAAGTTTATCTTAGATAATTTGAGTGGACCCAATTCTTCCAGTTGGAAGTCCTTGGGAGCAGAGGCTTCCTTGAAGGATAAGAAATTCCACTTGTGGAATTGCTTGTGCCTAATATTTCTAGTCTGTCCTTCCTGCCAGGCTGCCCTGCAGATTTCAGACTTACCTAGCAAACTTCAACAATCTCTCAAGCCAATTCTTTGCAATAAATATCCTACTGATTCTGTTTCTCTGGTGGAATTCTGACTAGTAAAATTGGTAAAAATACCAAATGACATAACACAAGAGTATTCCTTATACCATCATGTATAATTGTAAAACATTGAAAACCACTCAAATGTCCATCTATATGGGGACTGCAATGGAAGACTACTGCTATGGACTGAAAGCTTGTGTCCCTCCAAATTTCATGTTGAAACCCTAATCTCCAATGTGATTGTATTTGGAGATGGGGCTTTTAGGAGTTAAGTAGGTCATGAGGGTAGAACCCTTATGATAAAATTAGAGCCCTTATAGGAAGAGACAGGAAAGAGCTTGCTTCCTCTCTCTGCCATGTGAGGACACAAGGAGAACATTGCCATCAAATACTGGATCTGCCGACAACCTTGATCTTGAACTTCCAGCCTCCAGAACTCTGGAGAAATTAATTTCTGTCATGTACTCACCCAGTCTATGGTATTTTGTTATAGAAACTTGAACTAAGACAACCATGCGTCTGTAATAAGGACTATCTCTATCTTCTATTACGGTGTGATACCCAAGATATATTGTAAATTAAGAAAAACAAGATGAAGAAAAGTGTAGACAGCACACTGACATTTGTCTAAGAAAAGGAAGATGAGATACATAGTCACATAGATTCAAAATTGAAGGATAAATTATAAAAATATTTTTAAGGAAAAGAAAGAAGCTAGTCTTTTCAAAATATACCTTGTTTTAGAAATTTGAGTTTGAAACCATGCAAATGAGTTATGAAAATAGATAAAATGAAAACAACTCGAACTAAAAAAGCAATACCTAAAAATTGATAGTAAATTAAACAAATTAACTTAATTGTGTATTAAGTTAGTGGCAAACAGAGAGAAATTATTTCAAGTGACTTTAAGACAAGAGAGTTAGATTACACATCTCATGTGGGCTATATTCTTTGTGGGACAAAGAGAACTGAAAAAAATTATAAAGTATGAAGCTGTTTTCAGTAGTAATAGTACCACCAATAATATGGTTTTATACATTCTAGGGTGTGTGTGTGAGTGTGTTGGGATAAAGCAAATGTAGCAATGTTGATGCTGTTGGGAGCCACGATATTTCACATGGGAAAGAAGAGATGCAGGTGTAACATCAAAGTTAAGTAACACTGTGTGTGTACTTCCACATTTGAATTAGAAATATTAGTGAGAGGTAAGAGTTCATGATAAGTCTTGCTTTGTCCAAGAATGGTCACCAGCAGGGGGAGGAAGTCGACCTCTGCAAAGTTCTGTGACAACTGGCTCCACCCAGCTTCTTAAGGTGATCAATACTGGTCAAGCATGAAGTTTAAACCTCAGTAACTCCACCTGTATTAGCTTCCCTTGCTGCTGTAAGAAATTCCCACAAACTTAATGGCTTAAAACAGATAGATTTATTATTTTACAATTTTGGAAGTTGGAATTCTAAAATGGGTCGGCAGAGCTGTGTTCCTTTTGGAGGCTCTAGTGGAAAATTTGTTTTCTTGCCTTTTCTAGAAAGCTTCTAGAAGCTGCCCATATTCCTTGGCTCAGTCAAAACCAACAATGGCCAGTTGTGTCTTCTTCATACTGCATTACTCTGATATTAACTTTTTTGCTTCCCCCTTCCACATGTATATGACCCTTATGATCACATTGGGCCCACCTGAAGAACCCAGTATAATCTCTCTATTTTAAGATCAACTGATTAGCAAATTAAATTCCATCAACAACTTAAATTCTCACTCGCCATGTAACATAACATATTCATGGGTCCCAGGAATTGGAACAAGAACGTTTTTGAAATAGTCATTATTCTGCCTACCAAACCACTCAGAACATGCCAGGAAAGAGGTTTATGCTTCCCCAACCACGAAGGGAAAAGTGGTGAATTTTGTCACTAGCTTGTTATATTGTACAGCTTCAGAAGGTTGGGACCCCGGCCCCGACCACAGCAAAATGGCAAGTGCTTCCTTAATCATCATGCTTAAAGCCTTCCAGCCCAAGGATCAAGGTCACTCTCCCAGAAGCTATCATCTTGACCCATCAGGTTGCTGCGTACTGCCTCAGAGTGGGAATGGCAACAAGAAATTTTCACATCAGCTCCTGCCTTTGTCCATGGATTTTCCCCAGTGAACACTAATCCAGCAGATTTAGGGCTAGTAAGCTCTTTGATCCATGGAAACCAACTGCATCCTACTGTTTAAAGGGATCAATCATGGCCAACCACAATGTTGGACTCTGTTCTGTTAGATAATTTTCATGAGAGCAAATGAAAGCACTTAACACTCAGAAAATTCAAGCAAAATTTTATTATAGAAGATAGTAATGCTGCAATGAAGAAGAGAAGAAGAACAAGGACAGAAAAACCCACAATGCTTCCAGAACTCATATTCACACAACCTAGGGAGACAGGAGGAGCAGTAAAACTGAATGGGCAACCAACTGCAGCAAGAAGGGACACTTGCAGCTTCTCTCACTGGGATGAGACAAAAATGATCTTACCCTTATGGTACTGGAATTCCTATGCCTCCAAAAGCTTCCTAATTAGTTACACAGGTAGCTATTTCTAGAGCTAAATCTGCCTGTTGAGTAACAGGTTTTTAAATTTTAGAATATGTAATATGCACAAAAATTAACTCAAAATGGATCACAGACCTAAATGTAAAATGCAAACCTATAAAACTCCTGGAAGATAACATAGGAAAAAACCTGGACGATCTTGAGTATGGCAAATGACTTTTTAGATATGACACCAAAGGCATAATCCATGAAAGAAATCACTGATAAGCTGAACTGTATTAAAATGAAAAACTTCTGCTCTGTAAAAGACAATATCAAGAGAATGGGAAGACAAGTCACAGATTAGGAGAAAATATTTGCAAAAGACATATCTGATGGAGACTGTGATTCACAATATACAAAGAACTATTAAAAATCAACAATAAGAAAATAAACAACCTGATTTAAAAATGGGCCACAGACCTTAACAAACACCTTGCCCAAGAAGATATACAGATGACAAGTAAGCATATGAAAAGATGCTTCACATCATATGTCATAAGGTAAAGGCAAATTAAAACAACAATGCAATACCACTACACACCCATTAGAATGGCCGAAATCCAGAATATTGACAACACCAAATGCTGGTGAGGATGTGCAGCAGAGCATATTCTCACTCATTGCTGGTGGAAATGCAAAATGTACAGCCACTTCGGAAGGCAGTTTGGCAGTTTTTTATAAAACTAAACATACTCTTACCATACAATCCAGAAATCATGCTCCGTGATATTAACCCAAAGGAGTTGAAAATTTATGTCCACACAAAAACCTGAACACAGATGTTTACAGCAACTTTAGTCATAATTGCCAAAAACTTGGAAACAACCAAGATATCCTTCGGTAGCCAAATGGATATACTGTAGTATATACAGATAATAGAATATTATTCCCCAGTTGAGCTATCAAGCCATTAAAAGACACTGGGGAATCTTAACTGCATATTACTAAGTGAACAAAGCCTATCTAAAAAGGCTATGATTCCAACTATATGACAATTACATGGAAAAGCCAAAACTATGGAGATAATACAATACACCACTCCAGTGGTGTCAGGAGTTGCATTGGTGGGGCAGGGATAAACAGGAAGAACACAGAGGAGTTTTAGGGCCATAAAAATACTCTGAATGATACTATAATGGCAGATACACGTCATTATACAGAACATATACCCAAGAGTGAACTCTTAAGATAATGTATAGGTTTTGGATGACCAAGATGTATCAGTGTAAGTGTATCAATTATAACAAATGTACCACTCTAGTGGGGAATGTTGATAATGGAGGAGGCCATGCATGTGTAGAGACACGGAGTATATGTGAAATCTCTGTACCTTCCTCTCAATTTTGCTATGACCCTAAATCTGCTCTTTAAAAAATGAAGTCCTAAAACAAAAGGAAAAAAAAAAAAAGAATATGCAACTTGTCTGGATTCTCTTGTTTATCCTTGGACACTTTCTCAGTAGGTGCACGGTCCCAGGATATTTAACTCCCTGAAAGATATTAGTGTTTGCACACAATTTATTCCTCCCAAGATGCCAAAGTTGTTTAGAGATTAGTAATCTATATACACCTTTTCTCCATATGATATTGGATCTTCTGTTTTCTACACACTGACCCAATGGGGGTAGAACTTCTTGAATTCTTTTATATCATCTCTCGATTAGGATAATTTGTGAATGCTACTTCCTTGGATCCACTTTTTCCCATTTCCTAAGGCCAGCACTGAAATCCTTATTAAATTATATTCAATTGTTCTTAAAACAGGCATGGAGGGGTACCTGAGTGCCACAGTAGGTTAAGCATCTGACTCTTGGTTTCAACTTAGGTCTTGATCTCAGGGTTGTGAGATCCAGCTCCATGCTCATCATGGAGTCTGCTTGAGATTCTCTCTCCCTCTGGCCCTCCCTCATCTCTCTCTGTCTCTGTCTCTCTCTCTCTCAAATAAATAAATAAATCTTAAAAAAAATCAGGCATGGAGATGCAGAAGAGTATGCAAAAGAGCCACTGGGAATATTTAAATAATATTTAAAATATAATTTTAATGTTAGAAACAAATCTCTGTAAAGAGACAACTGAGATTATTTTATTTATATAAAAATACAAAAGAGAGGGGTGCCTGGGTGGCTCAGTCGGTTAAGCGTCTGCCTTTGGCTCAGGTCGTGATCCTGGGGTCCTGGGATCAGAGAGGGGAGCTTGCTTCTCCCCCTGCTTCTGCCTCTGCCTCTCTCTCTCTCTCTTTCTCTCTACCTCTCGCTCTCTCTCAATCTGTCTCTCATGAATAAATAAAATCTTTTAAAAAATGCAAAGAGAAAACCAAATATATTATCATAGACAATGAGTGCTATGGACTAAACTGTGTCCTCCCCAAATTCATATGTTGAAGCCCTAACTTGCCGCCAATGTGATTCTATTTGGAGATGAGGTTTTTAGGAGGAAATTAAGGTTAAATGAGGTCAGAAGAGTGGGATCCTAATCCAATAAGATTAGAGGCCTTATAAAAAGAGAAAGAGAGATCTCTCCATATGCACGCTCTCAGAAAAGGCTATGTGAGCACAGGGCAAGAAGGTGGCCGCTGTAAGCCGGGAAGAGAGTCCTCACCAGGAATTACATTGGCTGACACCTTGATCTGTACATCCAAGCTTCCGGAACTGTGAGCAATAAATGTCTATGAGTAAGCCCCCCACTCTCTGGTACTTTGTTATGGCAGCCAGAGCTGACTAAAACAGGGAACAACATCAGAGTAGTACTGACTTTACAGCTGGTTCCAGGTGCCTGTTTATGCACCAGGGTCTTCCAGAAGAAACATAACACAAGAACAGACAGTGCTGGTACTCGAAGTCTCCCTAGACATTTCAGGGAGGAAGGGGGATAAAAAAAAAAAAAAAAAGACAGTGGAGAGTGATTTAGTAAGAGTGACTCATCAATTCACCAACTGAAGTTAAGAACGCTGAGCGAGGCCAGGGCAGATGAGAACGAGGCTGAGGTCAGATACGGATGAAGTGAGTGATGGGAGTGGTCAGAGGAATTTTCTTTATATGTGATGCTGGTAGACAGGGAAGCAGAATGATCCCTGCCAACATTGTTCATGAACCAAAATATTTTCAGAATCCCAGTTCAGTCCCGAGACCCTAACTCTTCCCTCGTTATAGAAAATATTTCCAACAGACTATGACAACCTGGTTTCCCAAAACATAAAAGAAGAAGAAGACATGAGCCTGGAGCAAAAGATCTTCACTCCAAAAAAGTTTAAACATTAAGATTATGAAAGAAGTTATCTACAAAAGACAGCATATACGCAAACAAAGGACCCTCATGAGACAATTGGTGCATACAAATGATTAAACAATTAGGGCACAGCTAATCAGAGCCAGAAACTCATTGCAATAAACACTAATGTCCTATTCAAGGATTTGACTTCACCCCCTGTGCTTTGGGAAGGGGTAAATGGGAAAGATAAAGTTGAAAGGTTAATTCTCTGTAATTCATAAACTCCATCTCTTTGACAGAAAAATATTAAAAAAAAAAAAAGGCCATTCCTTTATCCTCTGAAGGGAAAGGCACCGCAGTATTTGAGAGTGTCGCATAACACTCTCAACCAGTAACCCATTTACAGAGGAGATGTGGCTGAGAAAAACAGAAGAGTTCAGATTTGAGCTTCCAAGATGTTACAAACAGTGACAGGAATAAAAATTAAATTATAATAGAAAAAAAACTTCTGATGCTTTGTGTCTGAAAAATAAACACAAACACTATTTATTAAGTCTGAACAACTTATGGAGGCAACATTTTTAGCCCTGGGCATTAATTACGGTTGCGCCACTAATGGGGTCTAGAGGAAGCCAATTCAACCCACTTCATCCCCAGGGAGAGAGCATCCACAAGTTCACAGAGTCATGCATTATCTCCATTTTATTGTCCAACAGAGTGAAGAATGAACTGAAACCTTGTGCTACATTAAATAAGCTGGCCAAGCCTGAAATGTGGGTCTATTTCTTCACCCACCCTCTAAAAAGTATTATCCACTCTGAGAAATGTCCCTCTTACATTCTTCAAGATGAGTTCAGCACTCAGCCGCTAGGAAATATTTTTTTCTCCATGATTAATTTTTTAAGGAGAGACACTGTAGACTGGTTCCTAACCATTCCCTGCGATTAGTGAGTTTTCTGCAGAACCTCATGAACTTATGGTGCTTTTAGCAAGACTTCATTAGTATGTAATTGTGTCTGCTGCTACAATCTATTCATTGTTATCTACAATGAGTTATATCAACAAGTGCCACTCTTCTCTGGGAGGTCACTGGATTGATCTGTTCAGCCTCTGGTGGACCTGAGGAGTCCTGAGGAGGGCTAAGGACACCAACCAAACCAGCAACAACATCTGGATTCGTTTGCTAGGGCTACCCTAACAAAGTAACACAAACTGGGTGTCTTAAACAACAGATGCTTATTGCAAAGAAATGTATCTTTTCACGGGGAAGTTGGAGATCCAGGTGTTGGCAGGGTGGGTTCCTTCTGAGCCTTGTGAGGGAGGGATCTGGTCCAGTCCTCTGCCCTTGGCTTGTAGATGGCCATCTCTCTCTGTGTCTCTTCATATCATCTTCCCTCTATGTGTGTCTCATTCTCCACACACAGCACTTTTTTTTATAAGGACACCAGTGTTATTGGATTAGGAGCCCACCTTCAGACTGCACCTTAATTAATTACATCCGCAATGACCCTATTCCCAAATAAGGTCACAATCTAAGGTACTCGGGGTTAGGTCTTCAAT